CTAACTGGACTTTGCCTTTAAACTATTACTGATAAGCAATATTTTCCTTCTATCTAAGGCTAAAAAAAAGTAGATTACTGCCGGACCCTCTAAGAAGACAAAAACTATTAATTAAAACCTGTCATTTAACTACTGTGATGAAAACAATTTGTTGACAAATCTTTTTTTCATGACAACACAGAAATAACTTTGGCTCTTAAATGACAAAAACATGACGAGACATGTGACAAACATGTGGATGATGACTCATCTGAGAAACAATCAATGACATTTCTGCCTGTCATACATCTAATCTATCAGACAAAAGCTGATTAATCACCAATTCTGCTCCCCATCCTGTGCTTATTTGGCCCAGCGCTCCACCACCTGAGAATGAGCGACCGCTACATGGTAAAAGACTAGAGTTTGGTGCGTGGACACCATGGAAGGTCATATGGTAACTTAAGATAGGATCCATTGGAAAGAAAATCAAATAAATATAAATCAGATTAAAACCACACAAAAACTTTTGTAGAGGTCTCATTGATTTAAAATCAGCTAAATGGTTCCCCCTGCAGGTGGTGGGACCACTGGGGGATGTCATTGTGTCGCTCCTATGGGCTGGGCCTGGGCAGGTCAAACAAAGAAGAACCCGATCACTGGGCGACAAACCCCAACCCCAGGCCTGGCTCCAGGGTGGGGTCCCGCCTCCGCCGTACTGGGTGACATCACCTGCCTTAATTTCTTTGTCCTCATGGGGGCTTTTTTAACCGCTTTTCATCTGAGCAGGGGCATTTAAGCTCCCATCAATATAGCCTCTGGGATCAGCTAATCACTGAAACCCCTCCACCACATTAAGGTGGCAGTTCAAGGAGGGTGTGACTAAAACTAATACGCATTTTTTTTTTATCTAAAAGACTAAACGCCAAAAAAAAAAAAAAAACCGCATTCAACTTTGAAAAGACTTTGAGGTTAACTGTTTTACCAAGTCTAAAAAAATATAAGATAGTTGAGAAACTATTTTATTCCTCATTCTGGATAAATTGTGCATAAATTGGATGTAAATTAATTTCTTAAATAGGCTAATAACTATGTCAGCTTATAGCTGCTTAAGGACCAATCATTCTGCTTTGCTCCATCTTTATTCTCTAATTCTGCAGTATTTTCTAGTTCAACCTCTAACTTTATGTTCTCTCAGTTTTATGTTGTCATAGTTGCATAGTGTCATCTGGCCTGGTTCTTTACTGCTGTGACATCTTTAAAATGAAAATATCAGCTGGGCTGCTGACATCTTCATTTGTAGATGATTGAGTTGAGTCTGTTTTATAATGTTTAGTCCTATATATAGTTATGGGGTCAGATTTTGGTTTGACTAACTATATGTGATCCTCCCTTTGACATAAAAACTAGAGCTCTTCTGCTTAAATTTTCCCCAGACAGAGCCACCTTTGGATCCAGTTTACTGTTATCTTTTAAAATTAAAAAATACTGCATTCAGAGCTCATAATTACTCGTAAAGAAAGTGGAGAACATTCCAAAGAATGGCCGACCAAACAAAAATACTTCAAGAGACTCAACCAGTAGAGTGGAAATTTTTGGAATGAATACAACCTGTTATATCAGGCACAAAACCAACATAACACTGCGGGGAAATAACATCAATATTTAAACACTAACTGACAACCTGCTCTAACTGAGGGAAACATAAATTAGCATGTAATGAGAGCATCCTTCAGGAAAATGTCCGGCCATATGTTCTCTGTCTAAAGCTTAAGTCCATTTTGGTTTTACAGGCTACTGATTAAAGCACACCAATGTGAACAGCCAACAAATGTGCAAAGTAACTTTTCAGGACCAACCAAGTCTAAATTCTGTGGTATGACCTTAAGCAGAATTTCGTGTTTAGAAAAGAATATTCAATCAGATTTCCTCCACAGCAAAGTAAAAAGACTCCCTGTGTACGGTGGCTGAGGGTTGCAAACACTGTGAATATGCTGTACATGATTGAAAGGGGTCATAAAATGCAAAACCCAGTTTACATTGTAATTGATGAATAACGATAGTTTAGTGGGTGAAATGGACGTACAGAGAAGTTCAAACCCCATCGACACCTCCTTTCTCTGCAAATTCCGCAATTCTAAACGTTTACCATAAAACAGGCAAATCCAGCCTGCTTTACTGTGCTTCTCACCGGGGGACGAGCGGCTACCGTCACCGGGTCTGGTTCGGCCACTCCGTCCCCCACTGGCTCCTGCCGGAGTACCCGGACCAGCGCCAGAGCTGGCAGTTCGGTTCTGCTGCACTGTATTCGACCAAAATCCGAAACGATTTTGAAATTCCCCCCCAGACATTTTTTTGAGATATTAAAAGTAGAACATGTCCGGGAAAAAGAGGACGTCTGGTCACCCTACCATATCAGCAATTTGATGTTTCAGTGAGAGAGTGCTTGTTGCTATGATGCAGCTTCGCTCTTTGTAAACCAACCAATCAGAGCACAGCTCATCTAAATATTCATGAGCATACCATAAAAGGAAAAAAAAACTGTCGTTTTATTCTAGGGCTTTTAACCAGGCTTGCATTAGGGCTCATACAACAGCAAATATGCCATTTTCAGCCCAACCAATATTACCCTATTTAGAGACCTTAAGGACCAGCACCAAATACCCTATAGCAGGCATCCCCAAACTCGGTCCTCGAGGGCCGCTGTCCTGTGGGTTTTAGAGGTTTCCCTGCTTTAGCACAGCTGATTATCATGATTGCAGTAGAGCTGAAGCCTGTTAATCAGCTTTCAATTAAAATCAGCTGTGCTGGAACAAGGAAACCTCTAAAACCTGCAGGACAGCAGCCCTCGAGGACCGAGTTTGGGGATGCCTGCCCTATAGAATCATTCTATCACCCTTTTAACAGCAAATTGTAAAAGTCCTGCAGGAGAAATGCTACGATCACAAAAAATATAAAGCAGCAAAGTAGAAACGCCCTGCAAATATAAAACTTGTTCAAAATACATAAATAGTTTTAACACACAAAAAAATGCTATGGGTAAAAACAACTGCAAGATGCATAACCAAAGTGATCCGGCCCACCAGGGGGAGACGATCAAAAACACATATTGGGTTAGACCCTTAGCTAGCTTATTATTCGAGTATGCAGGAATGGGGTTCACCTCAGCCATAGTAACTATGAGCTTCTAGGAAGTCAGAAATCTACCAAATGTGCACATCCATGATAAATAATAATAAAAAGCAAATCAGGAGCACAGAGAAGGAGAAAACAATAATGAGTATGAGATATAGGGGCCCCTAAGCTATATTGAATCTGTTTGCATAGAACATTGAAAATACATTTGGAGAGTAGTTAACATGAACTTTTAGTAGAATTCTGACTTCACAGTTTCTGTTAACTTTTCAGAGCAGCAATTACCACAACGCTTTAGCCGTAATTAGATAAAAGGTTAATTCATTTTACAGATATGAAAAGGTTAGTTTCGTCTCAAAATTAAACTAAATTGCCATTTAATAACGGATGTCTGTATTTACTCTGTTTTGATTGTAAATGTGTTAAAAAGGTGTGTAGAAAAAAAAATGCCAAAGAAAGTCTGTAGATACCGGAGCTTAAAATGAGCTCCTAATGAGAGAGCAACACACTCACATAGACACGGGTGGGGTCAAAGGGACACTCGTTGGTAACGCTGGAGTAGTCGATGGCGTCGGGGAAGCGGCAGTGAGTCAGGAGCATCCGCCCGCCGTTAATGACCGCCTTCACTACTGACACCAAGAGTCCAACGGCCGTACCTCCTGCCACCAGTGATGAAACCAGACTGATGGAGAACAAGGACCATGTCTGTGAAAGGAGAGGAGGCTCAGCTGTAATGACCAACAGGGAAACGGTTGTCCAATAATGTCATTCAACATACTACATAAAACACATCCTACAATAACGACACAAACTGAAAAAGTTTCAAGGGTTAAAACTTTTTTCGGCGTCGGATGGATCGAAACATAATGTCCCAGAGGTGTTCTATTGGATTTAGGTCAGGCGAGCGTGGTGGGCCAGTTAATGGTATCAATTCCTTCATCCTCCAGGAACTGCCTGCATACTCTTGCCACATGAGGCCGGGCATTGTTGTGCACCAGGAGGAACCCAGGACCCACTGCACCAGCATAGGGTCTGACAATGGGTGCAAGGATGTCGTTCTGATAGCCAATGGCAGTCAGGGTGCCGTTGTCTAGCCTGTATAGGTCTGTGCATCCCTCCATGGATATGCCTCCCCAGACCATCACTGACCCACCACCAAACCGGTCACGCTGAACGATGTTACAGGCAGCATAACGTTCTCCACAGCTTCTCTAGACCCTTTCATGTCTGTCACATGTGCTCAGGGTGAACCTGCTCTCATCTGTGAAAAGCTCAGGGCGCCAGTGGCAGACTTGCCAATTCCGGTTTTCTGCTCCACGGTGCCGGGCAGTGAGCACAGGGCCCACTAGAGGACGTCGGCCCCTCAGGCCACACTCGTGAAGTCTGTTTCTGATTGTTTGGTCAGAGACATTCACACCAGTGGCCTGCTGGAGGTCATTCTGTAGGGCTCTGGCAGTGCTCCTCCTGCTCCTCCTTGCACAAAGGAGCAGATACCGATCCTGCTGATGGGTTGTAGACTTTCTACGGCCCTGTCCAGCTCTCCTGAAGTAACTGCCTGTCTCCTGGAATCTCCTCCATGCTCTTGAGATTGTGCTGGGAGACACAGCAAACCTTCTGGCAATGGCACGTATTAATGTGTCATACTGGAGGAGTTGGACTGCCTGTGCAACCTGTAGGATCAAGGTAGCACCTCATGCTAACAGTAGTGCCAGTGACCCTAGCCAAATGCAAAACTGGTGAAAAAGAGTCAGAAAAAATGAGGAGGAGAAAAAATGTCAGTGGCCTCTACCTGTAAAACCATTCCTGTCTTGATGGTCGTCTCATTGTTGACCCTTTAGTGCACCTGTTGTTACTTTCATTAACACCAAAGCAGCTGAAACTGATTAACAACTCCCTCTGCTACCTACATGACCAAATCAATATCCCTGAAGTTTAATTTACTTGATGCTATACTTTGATTACAAAGTGTTCCTTTAATTTTTTTAAAGAGTATATGTGTGTATATGTGCATTTTATGATTAATATTCACAAATAAATAGTCATAATCAAGGTCCTTGGAACATGAACAAATCTTAACTAAATGTTAGGCTTTATTATTAGGTCTTAATTAAGCAATAAATTTAATAAAACATAATTATCTAAAAAAACAGTTTCTTCAAACTGAACTGAACTGTGATGTTACTGCATCGTTGTATTGATTATGGTTTTAAACCCTGTTTTTACTTCTTTCTGTACACAGTATCTTAGTGTAGTTTCACTGGTTTAAGTCAAGATCTTTTAACTGAAACATGTTTGACTTGGAACAGATAGATTTTTGTTGGTAAACTGTTATATTTTGATTGAAAGTTGTGATTTTATGCCATATATTTGCAGAATTATCTGTTTGACCAGGATTTCAGCTTGTTTCACTCTTTCATTAGTTGTTCTAACACACAGCCAGTAGGGCGTGTGCTTATAATCAATATATGACAGTACAAATTTACCATCCCTATTGGGAAAGGCAATATTATCGTTGCTCAACATTTATCTGACTTTGTTAATTATTATTGCTCCACTAGATGAAAGAAGAATTTATTATTATCTAGAGACTATTAATAACAGCAGGTGAAATGTGTCTCAAGATGAGCTGAGCGTGAGGTGATGTCACCATCTGTTCCAATTAACCATTATTTATGCTGCGTGTGGATAAAACAACTGGAGAGAATGCCATTAAATATTTCAAAAATTAAGAAATCTTTTTCAGTAAAATCACATCTT